AAGTCTAGTGCTTATCTTACAGTGCTACACAATTATAAGAAGTTAAGTATTATCCTTACCACTTGAATTTATATACTGAATGCTGATTGTAATCGTATCCTCAGGCAATCTGCATTCTTTAGAAAACTTGTTCCAAAAAGGAAGGTTTAAGAACACTTTTGGATTAAAAAAATTGAGTATCTGTGGATTATGAAACATATATAATAAAAATTATGACTAGATACTTTATGGTTGATAAAAAAAACATAAGACATGACTATGGGTCACCAGAAGGAATCCTGGTAGCATAGTGGGTTATGAGCGGAGCTGCGAACCACAAGGTCAGCAGTTTAAACCTATCAACTGCTTTGAAGGAAAAAGATGAGGCTTTCTGCTCCCATAAAGATTTATAGCCTTGGAAACCCTATACAAGGTAGCTATGAGTCAGAACTGACTCTACAGTGCACAACCACCCCCACTTCCATAGTTACTAAAGTGTTTTATTGAATGGTATCCTGCCTTCTCTTGCCTGATTTATTCATGCAATATGCATGTTGTGAGCAAGAAATCTATGCATTTTAGGGCTGTACATACATTTGGGAACAAAGACACAAATACCAAGTAATAGGGGGATGTTCTCTGTATATCAAGAATAAAGGAGAGAGGAAGAAGAGCTAAGAGGAAGAAAGACAGCAAGGAGAGCTAGGCATGGAAAAGTAAGTATGATTTTGACCGTGGTGTGAGATGAGAAGGTGATGAAAGGACATTTATGTTAATGGGACAGATGAACAAATGTACAAGGACAGTACAAGCCCAAGCAAGGATGAGCAGATCCCATTGACTAGTGGCTAGAGTTTTCTTTGGTGATGGGAGATGAGGCTGGAAGGGCAGCTGGATTGGGGAGAGAGTGTTGAGGCCCCTGAATGCCAGAATCCAAGTTTGAAGTTGTTCAGGTACAAGTTGGGCTACTAAACTCAAAGACAGCAGTTCAAAACTACCAGTCGCCCCATGGGAGAACGATGAGGCTTCCTACTCCCGTAAAGATTTACAGCCTTGGAAACCCTATGCAGGGTCACTATGAGTCAGAACTGACTCCATGGCACACCATCACCATCACCACTAGGTAGATAACTGGGGAGAGGGGAAGCAGAGGGAAGTGTTACTGATGATTTCTGAGCGAGGAATATCTTCATAATCTAGGAGATGTGCGCAGGTGAAAGAAGACAGCCAATAACAGTAATTAGGAAGTTACTGCAATAGTCTAGCTTAATGAATTATTTCTAGAACTAAGATGGTGACACTGGGAATGGAAAGAATGGATGTGATAGCTAAGTGATCTTTAAATCTGTCTGACTGACAGAGAAGTGAAATAATCTCCCTCCATTACTTAGAGCCACTCTAAACCTAGTAAGTATTGCCTGTTGTCATTTGAGAACACAAAGTACTTAAAGAGGTATAATTTAACTCTCACAGTGGCTAAGGAAGGGGGTCTTTAGGCCTTGCATAACTCTATATCCATCTCAAAAACAGACCTTTCCTTCAGAAGAAAAAGCAAGTGACAACTGTGTCCGAACCTGTCCTCACTAGGAACTACCTACTGTGAAAACTGCTCACACAAGTGGAGGAAAAGGTCAAATTAGAAAGTTATCACCTATAACATTTCATATGGCATTCATGCAGAACAATTTATGCTTTGTCAAGTCCTTCCCAACTCATTTTCTCATTTTCTCAATTTTTTTTTTTTTTTTTCCTAAAGCAGCCCTTGAGGTATTAAGTTAGGAATTGTTGTTGTTGTTGTTGTTGTCAGGTGCCATCGAGTCGGAACCGACTCATAGCGACCCCATGCATAGCAGAACGAAACAATGTCCGATCCTGGGCCAACCTCACTACCGCCGCCACACTCGATGCCATCAGTGATGCCACCTGGCTGATCCATCTCTTTGGGGGTTACTAGCCCCATTTTACAGAAGAGGGAATCTTACCTCTAATCACACAGAAACTCATCAGAGGCAGTCTTCCAACTGCAGGTACAAGACGAATGTCACTGCACCTTGCAACCCCATTGCTGCAGGGTTGTAGTTAAAGACAAGTGATCTGAACTTTGTTGTAGGTGCTATTGAGCTGATTCCAACTCACAGTGAGTCCATGTGACAGAACAGGGCTGGCCCACCAGGGTTTTCTAGGCCATAATCTTCACAAGAGTACACTGCCAGTTGCTGGGTGGGTTTTAACCGCCAACATTTGAGCTACCAGCCAAATACTTAACTGTTTTGCCACCAGGGCTCCTTAGTCTACAGGATTTAAAACAGATACAGGTTGGATAAGATATGGGTGCTGTGAAATCCCCGCCAGGGGAGATGGTAAAAGCTGCCCAGAAAATGTCCTCCACAGAACGAAACACAATCCAGAGCCCAGATGGGAATTCCATTGCTGCTATGGGTTTACGGATTGTTTATTTTTATTTCTTGGCTCAAACTTTTCATTCCTGTCCCGTCTCTTCTTGTCTCTCTCTCTCTCTCTCTTGTTCTTCCCCTGGCAGCCACAACCCTACTCTGCACATACACGTCTCAGTGTCTAATGCCACCATCTAAAAATATAGCTCACTTCTACTTCTGCAGGTGACACAATTTAAGATGGATACCAAACAACTCACATCATGATCAGCCTTTGATTCACTTACCCTGCATATTAAAGACCCAGAAATGAAATAATAGTTCACAGAGAAAAAAAAGTCATGCAGAGACACTCTTTCAAGTGGCATTCTCAAGCCCAGGGTTTGTGTCTGGCTTATGCAATCAGACTAATTGTCTACACATGTTTGGTTACACCATTTCAAAAATGGTTCCCAGGCCACCAGATGACGTCAGAGTCAGTGTTGACCCCCTTCCCTGCCTCCCCAAGTATGAGTGCTGCTCTCATCTGGGCTGCCAGATTAGGAATGAAATATGCCAGATAACAGGACTGTCAGTTTCATTTTCTGTCCAGTTACATGGACTTTCCTCAGTTCCCTTTTTTGAGAATGTCTATATTGTCCCCACAATAGGGACTTTGTTCATATCCTTCTCTCCCACTTATGCAAAGTATAAAGCTATTTCTGGAAAAATCTAACCTACATATTAAAAAAAATTTCAGGAAATGCATAAATGCGTATGTGTTTGAACATGTGTACACAAACGCAGAGCAAATTTCATTCACTTGGAAACCATTTTTGAGCATGTACTTCCCCCCAGGATATCTTACATTTCTACAAATAAGGGCTTTGGTGAGTCACCCATTAATATGGTAATTGTAATTAATATGATAAGACAGTAATAATAATTAGCATTATTAGTAGAGTAAGGTAGAATCTTTTCTGGAAATCCTTCCTAGGAAGTGACATGATTGTCTAGAATATGTTTAACAGGCTTAACTTTGACAGCCCTTCTTCCATCCCAGAGAAGGTCTTGATGAATATTACACAAACTAGAGGGGAATTTGCCTAAAGAATGTATAAAGAATTTCTGAAAGTTAGGGTAGGCCTTCAACACCACCAAAACCCATCACAACCTGTATTGGACCCCCTCTCTCAACATCCTTGCCAAGCAGCTAGCCAAACCATGCTTTTCCAATGATAGGGAAGTCTTGATTTTCAGAGACAGCTATGCCAATCTCTTCTTGAACAACTATGACTGTGAAAAAGCCCATTAATATTGAAGCGAAACCCCCTCTGAGTCTGAGTGGTCCTATCCTAATTCCTTTAGCGTATTCATGATGACTCTAACCCCTCTCACAGATGATTAAAACTATCATGTACCACCCAAATCTTCCCTTCAATGGGCTAAGAATTCCTAACTGTTTCAACCATTCCTCATATGGCAAAATAGCTCGTTTTCTCTTGATGCCTTCTAGTCTGGTCATGATCATGAATGAGTTGACTAATGCAAAGTTGAAGGGTTCATCAATTCCTTCATTGTAGATACTATACCTCAAGTAGTATAGGTCAAGGTTGTTGTTATTAAGTGCTGTCCAGTTGGATCAGACTCATAACAACCCTGCATAGGGCTTCCAAGGAGCAACTGGTGGGTTTGAACTGCCAACCTTGTGGTTTGCAGTCCAGTGCTGAGCCTACAATGCCACATCATTAATAACTCATGCCTACCTTTTCTTCCTTCCTGCTCCAGTTTATTCTAATCTTAACAGACACAAACAACAACAACAAAAATGATCACCACCAACCAACTATGGCATTCTTCAATAGTTCTGAGCAAACAGTTCTGTTGGAGCCTCTGGTGACTGCTAAAAGCCCAGAAAATCACCCTTGATCAAAAGAACAACCTCCTTTTCCATGCTGCCCTCTTGTCCCCATTTGCTGTCACTGCTGCTGAGATAGCAGACGACTGATCTGAGAAATCAAGTTGGATTGCTGTCCCAAATCTACACTCGGTTTCCCTTGTGTCTGTCTGATCGATTTCACTCTGTGCGACATAGCTTGTCGCTACGGATTTTCATGCTAGTCAGGAGCCGCCAACACACCAATAACAAGTAGAAGATGGTTTGCACTCCTCCCCATCCCTTCACCATATTCGGCATCTGAGCTAATTTTTGTTGTTGCTGTCCATAGACAGATTTGAGAAAGGCTTTTTAAGAAAACAGAAGAATCTAGAATCGAACGCAATGAACTCTTGCCACCGGGTTTTGTCCCCAGGTTCCTGGACCCCAGCTTGTGATGACATTTCCGACCACCGTTGTACTAGGTGTCACCTGTTTAGCAGCTCCTCTCAGCTGACTGCATGTGGCCGCAGGTGCCATGCAAACACTGATTGTGTCTGACAGCCCAAGACAACAGCTGCCTGCATGAAGCCTGCCCAATTGCCATGTTTTTTTGTGGGCAGAATGCTGCCGATGGCATGGCCAATCCAGACACAAGAAACTCAGTGAAGCTAAGGCAAGCTCTACACTAAGTGGCATTCCAAGCCCTGTAGCTTTAAAATCATTGGTAGTAAGAATACAAACAAAGTGGGTGGGGAGCCTTGTTGTCTTACACTGATGCCCTGCGGACTGTACATCTGACTGGCTGCGAGTCCGTCACTGTATCCTCCTGTCTGGCTGATAACATGGCGAAGGGTATCCACCTAAACAGATGAACAACAGAGAAGAAATTAGTCATGAAGATGCAGGGAAAGGGAGGCAGATCATCATCATAAGGCTATCATTGGACATGCCAAGCTAATACGATCATTTGGGAGATACTCTTCCTAGGCAAGGGTTCATTAGGAGGTGACTGAGCCCTCTCTAGAGGCCAAATTCATGATCCATTCTGAGTTCAGTATGCAGGATGGTAAGATGGTAAAAGAAAGCTGGGATTCCCAATAATGAAACTAATTCAGGAGTGGTACAGGAACAAGCAGGGACAAAGGTTAGGAGTGGGGGCGAGAGTGAAGGAATTTCCCCTTTTGTGTTTCTTCCCTATGGATCATTCTAGATGGCAACTCCTTTGATGGGTATCCTATAAAAGTCAAGGTTGTGCTTAGAGGAGGCTGTATCTTACAGAAGGAGAGGCACGTAACTGATGACCTTATTTTTTAAAGGACTTCAAGGAGGGCCATTTATGGAGTCAATTGACCAAGGTCTGTCCATGTCACCTCAAACTTATTTCCAGGCAATGTTTTCTAAGCAAAGTATGGAATCGTTGTCGAGCTGGTCTGTTCCAGGCAGGTGATACCTCCTGCTCCATATGCAAGGCGGGAAACTGGCTTGACATGGCTCAGAGCTCCTCTAAACACTCTGACACAGAGCACACTGTGCCCTCTCCCATCACACTTCATGCTAACACAGTAGGAGGTCACCTGAGGTGCCAAGTGGAAGGGATCTGCTTAATGAAGAGTACTGAGGTTTCAGATCACATGACTTGATTTTAGCTTCTCAACATGGACTTATATTCATCACCAGAAACCCAAGTCCCTTGACCCCAAGGATGACTGAGAAGATGAGCTTAGTCAACTTGCCTGGGTGTTTTTAAAATACAAGTATCATGTATTTGCTTATTCATTCGTTACCTCCTTATTTGGCAAATATTCAGTATAGAAAGTCAACCAAAGAGAAGGAGACCTGGACAGTGAGACAGTGGGCTGAACACCTTCCTTTCCATTCAGTGAACAAAGAACACACTGGTTCTACTTGCCTGATACACCTTGGTCACCTCACCTGTCCTTGCTGGTCCTCTCCTGCCTTCCTAGTGTGACTGAGAAGCCAGAGCCAAATGCATTCACAAAGTGTGGACGAGATTCCCCACGACAATGGTTGTCTTTGTTTTGTTGTTGATAAGGTTTTTTTTCTGGTTTGTTTTGGTTACTTTTTCTTTTCTTTTCTCTCTCTCTTTCTCTCTCTCAACAGGAGCGGGAAGTGCCAATAGGATTGAGGGCTCTTGGACTCTAATGCATTCACCTGGCGGCACATTGGCTGGGTCCCTACCTGTGATTGCACGTTGGCTCCAACCTGGGCCCCTTGGTAAGAATCCCCATTGAGTGACTGCACGCTCATGAACAAATCTCCAGAGTTTGACATGTTAAAAGAACTGGAAGAACCTGGAAAGGAAAGAGTGAGGCACCTGAATCACAGAAAGGAAAAGGCTCAACCCCCGCAACTAACAGCCAAGAGGAGGAATGACATGCAAAGCAACCCCCCAAATAAAAACGAAAATGAAAACAACATCAACAGAGTCTGGTTAGTAGCATGAAGAACAGAGCAAGCAATAAAGGGTGCATATTGCTCATGTTATGTGAAGCCACACCTTACTGCATGTTGCCAATAGGATTGTTTCCCTTTAGCAACTTCAAGCTGAAAAAGGGAATATTTTTTCTTAGTCTACTTGAAATGGAGACAGTTACCAGACCAAGGATCTCTCTTGCATGCTTCTGAAATTCTAGAGTTGGCCAGGGGACCAGAAGCTGAGGAATATGGGCTGGTCTACAGTGGCGCTCATGAGTCATTCATCTGGATTCTAGTTATGCTACTGCCAAACTTGTCTACCCCTAAGTGAGGAGCAACATCTGCAAGGGGAGTACAAGAAGATACTGTCACATAGTAGGGCTGGCCTTGTGATGAATCCACTGACATTCATGATTTCTACTAATAAGGTAGGGGTCCCAGAAGAGCCTTGATAATTATAAGAATAGATGAGGTTAGCTAACTTTTCTTGCCACCTGCATCATGAAGGAAGATGACACGGAATAATGGTCCAGGGATTCGTGTGCATGCATGGAATATGAAATGCTAATAATAATAACAAAGGGATCTCAGGAGGGCAGTCAATCTCCCAAAGAAGGAGCCACAGCTAGGTTTTAGGTCTATCTTGGAACCCCACACTCGTGATTCTATGGTGTTAAAGCTACCCCACTTGCCGCCTAAACACATGGTGGTGAAAAATGTTCAATAGTATTCTGAAGTCATCATGCAGCTCAGTGCATTAGGAAAGAAAGCTCAACGTGCAAGGGTTGGTTAAAACGTGACGTTAGCCTGGAAAGGAGAGACCTTAGGGACCCAGGTCAGTTCCACTCTATTGTTTCCAACCCTATGTTGTTCAAATTGTTCTCTTGCCCTCATATTCTGACAGCCATCATCTGTGTGGAATTGCCCAACAGTGATTCATGCCTCAGCTCTGACACTTTCTTTTGTCCCAAGATGAGGGTTTGAGCTCTCCTAGAGAACTGTCCTGCTCCGCATGAGGAGCTGCAGCTAAGCAGAGGAGAAGGTTTCTTGTTTCTCTCTCCATAGAACGGTCACATCACTGGCAATAAACTCTAAACTCTGCCACTCTGCTTCATGCTTTTCTATTCACAGGTTCCTTATGCTTCAACACCAATAACCATTTAGAGGAGCCAGATGACATACAAACTTGGGGACTATTCTAAGTTAAGAAGTATCTCCATTTCTCTTTGTTCTTTGGGGAGGTTCACCTACATGCAAGAGACTAACAATTTGTTATGTAGATCAATCCTTCACTCTAACTCCCTTCATGCTCCTCTTTAACGAACGCACCAACGAACGAATGAACGAACGAACGAACAAAAGAAAGAAAGAAAGAAAGAAAGAAAGAAGTGCGTTTGAGGGGAGTGGTGGGGAGACAGAAGCATTAACCCAAGAGCTATGACATCTCCCATTGTTCCACATGTCCTTTCTCATCTGGTACATGTTTCTCAGTTTAGTGTATCAGAAAGGAATTTGAAAAGTTGGGTCTTGACAAAATAGGCATTTGATCTGACCAGGCTTACATCCAGTTAGTAAGGTAAAAGCTCTGGCCTGAACCTCTTTCCATTAATATAGTACAAATATTTGAAACTGCTTTCACCAGTATATAGCTCTTAATCATATTCTGCTGTTAAGCTATGCAACGCCCAGAATAACAAAAGCCATTTTGTAATAAGCGCTAAAATGCATGGCCATATTTAGATGGCATCAGAACCAAAAAGAGTTCTATCCAAGATTCCAAATTATAACAGTGTACATCAGACACTTCCCCTCCCTGAAAATGTTCAACTTGAAACCCAGGTATCTTATTTGTCTCTCAATCAAATACTATGTAACAAATACCCATGGTATATGCTTGCTTGATAGTTCATTGGAAATTAGCACACAGACTGTGAGGTGGGCGAAACCCCCACAGGCCTACACTGATGCCACGTAACATGGCATCCACAAAACCAAGAAGGCATGGAATGTGCCATTTACAAGATACACACTACAATTGACACAGATGATTCAAAGAAATATATGTGCATAGATCAATTGTAAATATGTCTGGCTGCATACTGTACACGGGGATAAATATGCGCATATAAATGCACTTCATGTACAAATGCATTTGTATCAGAGCAGTAATTGCAGGAAGAGTCCCTGGTGGTATTGGTTGTGCTGTTTCAGCATTTTATTGTCTCTGTATACCCATGTATAACACCACCAGGCTTCCAACTCTCTGATAAGTATCTAGAGGCACTGATTGCTCTCAGGATGCAACCAGGTTGCCACTGATCCCGCAATAAAAAAAAAAAAAAAAATTTAAGTAACAAGGGGGAGCCATGTCCTTAATCCAGTACTGGAAGCTGGAAAGAACCAAACACAGAATGGATAACCTCCTGGGAAGTATATAATTCAGAGTCAAGTAATGAATGGGCTGTCTTGGAGGTACTGTGGAATTCTCCAAGAAAGTCATTCAGTCACCTTACCTGCAGACTGTTGTAAAGCAAAAAGCCACTACTGGAAGCACATTTTAAGACGTGTATGTCAGTTAACAGGTTCTGAATTTGAATGGAGGAGAGAGGCAAGTGGCTCATTTAAGCTGGTAGCCAGATATCCTGGGCATGTACAGAGTTGCATCTGCACTCAACTAGACAGAAGAGCAGTAACGGATCACCTATGGATTAAAGTGCACCTGCTTAGGCAAATATGATGCTATGAGATGTGTTAGCATCCATTTTCATAAGACACCTTCCCAAAGAATGCAGTGCTCTGAAGAATCTTCAAAATACTTGCATTTGTTTAGAGAAACAAATAATCCACCTCACCATTCAAAAAAAGACATCAATATAGCAGGATTTCTTAACCTTGGCACTACTGGTATTTTGGGCCAGAGGATTCTTTGTGATGGGGGAATGTGTATTGCACTGAAGGATGCTGAGCCATATCCTTGGCCCCATCCACTAGATGCCAGTAACACTACATTCTCATTCCCGACTCACTAAATTATGAAAACCAAAAATGTCTCCCGATATTGTCAAACACCCCTTTGCCCCCATACTGAGAACTGCTGACCTACAACAAGTATGGATTTACTTTTTCTTCCCACTGGAGCCAAACTGTTTAAATCTATTAACTCATTTTTCCTCATAACCTTTTAATGAAGCAGTTGCATGACAGGTTTTGGGCTAATTTTTCTCATTCAGACATCGAGACTCCAGATAAGTAAGGTGGCCAACCTGATCAGCTCAGACTCCCATATCACCTGGAGGCTCGGAGGAGAGGTAAATGCAAGTTTGATTTCCCATGATCCTTGCCCTTTTGAGCTACCAAAATCATGATTACTTTCTACTCAGGACAAAGTGAAAGAGTGAAAGATTGTCTGGTTCAATCTAAAAGCACTTCATAGGTGTACATGTCAAGGTTCTAGAATTTCACTCTCAGGAGGCGAAGTTTCCATTTTCCCACTTAGAAATAAAGGGAAGAAATAGAATAAGAAAGAACATGAGAGAAAATATCACTGGGATAAAATATTTCACTTGGTTTTACAAATACAAAACTAAAACACTTCCTGAAGATTTACTAGAAGTGTCAGTCAACTTCTCTGGCTGCCTCACTTCCTCTCTAGTTATGTGTAAGTATGGAGTTCCTTGGTGGTGCGAGCAGTTAATGGTCTTGGCTGCAAAGTAAAAGGTTGGAGGTTTGAGTCTGTCCCAAGGTGATTCAGAAGAAAGGCCTGGCAAAGTGTTTCTGAAGAAACAGCCAATGAAAACCTGATGGTGCTTTCAGGTGTCGACTCTGACACACATGAATTAGGATCAACTTGACAACAGGTTTCTGTATACTATATGTAAACTTACCTTAGAAAGGTAGGGTCTAGGGATTTTAATATGACAACCTGCCATCATTCAAGAAAAACACCAAATCCCCTATTGTCGTTGTAAATGTCTCTGAGTCAGTTTTGACTCATAGCGACCCTGTATAGGGTTTCTGAGGCCACATATCTTTGTATCAGCAGAAATCTTCATATTTTTTTCTGTGGAGCAGTTGGTAGACTTGAACCATCAACTTTCTGGTTCACAGCCCAGTGCTTATCATATAAAGCCAACATGCTCCCAAATTTCCTGTTGCTGTTAAGTGCCATTGAGTTGGTTCCAACTCACTGTGTCCCTGTATAGGGTTTCTGAGGAATGGCTGGTGAATTTGAACTGCTGACCTTACGGTTCAAACCAACTTTGTGACACAGAGCATTATCTCACAGTGCCACACCAGGCCTCCTAAATCTATTATAAGTTGTGGCTCCTAGTGACCCAGTATATGGTTTCCAAGGAGTGGCTGGTGGGTTTGAGCTGCCGACCTTGTGATTCAAATTGACCTTGCGTTCCAGTGCCTTATTCTGCAGTGCCATCCCAAGACTCCTATTGAGAGTGTAATAAAAGTATGTACAAGGGTTTGTCACTGACTGAATGGTGTTGGAGAGAGAACTTTCAGGGCGGAACCTGCTGTTGTTCTTTATTCACATATATACACAATCACACTCATACACATGAACACATAGGCAGGGTTACAACTATTGTTTCAGTTAGTTCCCACTTATGCTTTCTTCGGTCAAAACTTAAAAATTCTTCTGTTCCCTTTTATTCTTTTGGTTTCTCCACTTTGTTCAACTCTGCTGGTGTAAAAAGCGAAGCATGCTAAGTGTCTCCAAATGCTTGCTAATCTGCCACAGGTCCTAGCCCCAAGTGACTTTTCTGAACTGTGTTTGAGGTAATGGGAGGCAAGGTTGTTGTTGTTATGTGCCATGGAGTTGGTTCTGACTCATAGCGACCCTGTACAGGATTTCCAAGGCTGTAAATCTTTACGGGAGCAGAAAGCCTCATCTTTCTCCTGCAGAACAGCTGGTAGTTTCGAACTGCTGACCTTGCGGCTCGCAGCCCGATTCGTAACCACTACGCTACCAGAGCTCCTTCGGGGAGACAAGGTATATATCAACAAATAGGAATACTGGGAAATGGTCTACGTAAAGGAGCTACAGTACAGCTCTTCACGCAGAATCCTCTAAGGAGAAAACTTACATTCAAAACCCCTTCCTTGCAGTAGGGATGCATATTTCCATTTGGTAAAAGCTTCTGGGACCAAAAAAAAAAACAAAAACAAAAACAAACTTCTGCTTCATGACCGAGGCTACAAAAGTCCCTAAGTGCCAGAACTCTAGATTTCAAACTTAACTGAGAAATATATTTAGCATATTAATCTCGTATTTAAACCTTGCTATTTCAGTTATCATTCATTCTTTGAAAGTAATGAGAAGCTAATACACGGCATATTAAACATCTCATGTGATAAGTTTGAACATTTTTAAGTTCTCACTTTCTTTGAGCAATGATCGGGGTTGTGCTAAGAGCAAAAAGAAAATAAAGAACAGTCTTTTTATAATTCTTCCTGTTAAGATGTTTATCTTTTAAGATTCTAAGCGATTGCACACATACAATACCATTATCTTCGGTCTCTCCTTGAGAAAAAGCACTACACAAAGGGATTCCTCGGCATATTATTTCCAATAATTTAGGCCCAACTGGAAGGCTTAGCTCAAATTTTCCATGATAATTTACTCTGTGCTCAAAAAAGTCACATGAAGTTTAAGCCAGCAGGAGAATTCCTTAGAAAACAGTAATCATAGACTGACATTCCACAAGACGCAACATAATTCTTAAACACAGAGTAGGGGGTTAAAATGCTTACTTTTCTTTTTTTGAGTGCTTTGTGAAAGAATAAAAAGTTACGGATTTAGTAATGAAGGGAGTCCACAGGGCCCTTCTAAGGACGAGTCATAAATCATCCTAAGCCATCTGCGATGCAGATATATCAGGGACAGGAAAAAGTCATTTTGATATCTGTTTTGCATTATGATAACCTTTGCAGGGGTGTTGAGTGTTTTTGCTAATGTTGACAGAATTGTACTTCTTCCAAAGAGACAGGTGAAAATGTCTGCCTAGCAGTGCAGCTCAACTAGTGTTGCTGGGACTGAAATGCTTAACAGTTGACCAGATGGGGCAGAAGGAAGCTCTCTGGTTATTGGACCTGTTGGCCTTGATCTTGTGTCAATCAACCATGATGGGAACAGAAAGAAACAAACCAAAACGACAAGGAGCAAATATGATCCTCATAATAACCCAACCTGTAATACTGGGAAAAATAAAACTGGATTGAATTCTGCATTGTCTTACCATATCTGTATTTACAAAGCCCAGGCCATTCTTCATGCATGATTCCATTTAAACAAAAGAAGGCTATGATGGAACAGCCCACTGACTTGGAGAACATTATGATAACAAATTAGTGCATCCAGAAGCTCACAGAAGACGTTAGTGGGTGAAGGAAGCCCTGTATGTCTCCAATGAAAAGCCACCATAGGTAGAAAGAAAACTTATTTTAGCAGACAAACAAGCTTTGGAGACAGAGATACCATATACTCTCAGAAATGGCAGAAATACGATTCTCCATCCTATTATGATCTCAGATCCTTATGCTCCTCAGACCTGGAGTCATCAATTTTGTTGGATGTGCAGCTCACAGCCACAATCAATGCATCATGTTCAATTACAGATATAATACCATAAACTGAGATCAAGCTTATTTAATGAGTTACACATTTTTGGTTCTTCTTTTACAATTTAAAAATAAAACACATACTAGCATCCTCCTACAGCAGACAAACACTAACTTTGTATTTTATGAATTATTGACTATGTTTTCTTCCATAGGTGGAAATTCAAACTGGATGGCACAAGACACACTCAAAAAATATATTATGGTAGCCCAAACTCTGAAATTAGTGATACAATACATATTCACTAAAATAAAACCTGGAACACAGCACATGCTGATAGAATAACATGAACAGTAGAATCTAAACAATTGGAATTCATGACTGATGACTTCCTTTACACAGACCAAAATAAATAAATAAATAAAAAGGTAAGTTAAAAATAAAACAATAAAGAACAATTTATGTGCGTGTATGTATTTATAGCCTGGCTTTACAGACCAGAATATTATAGTGAGATATTTGCTAGAAGAATGATATTTGCTAGAAGAATGAAAATCCCACATAGAATACATGCACACCAGTAACCCAGACACTCAATGATGAAAACAGCAAAAAAGACAAGGTGTAGACTTTATATGAAACAACCTAATGACAGAACCCAAGAAACTATCTATAAATTTTAGGTCTTGTTTATTGATTAGCATCTCTAAAAGGATAATTCCAAGGCCCCCTCATCAATACCAACCAATCTGCTACTGTCTCAAGTAGATAGAATATATTAGTGTAAACTTTCAGACAATTCCATCTTGTTAATGTAATAATGCATTGCTCTTTGGAAATAAAAAGCAAAATTCAAAATGGCATCAACAACAACAAAAAAGACAAGAATTAAATACATAAATCAACTAATCAAAAACCCAAAGAATTAAAAGAAAATCCCAATGTAGGAAAAGTAAGTGTAAAAATGAGGAGCAATCCCCCAAATCAAAGTAAAAACTAACCAGCTGAGTTGGGAGTTGAGGGTGAGTTAGCTTGGCTTCCATGGGCTGACACATTGGTAGCAGTGACAGCCGTTTTGGCAGCATAAATATTGGCTTCCTCTTGAAATTTACCTATGTTCTTCTTGTACCGGATTCGCTTATTTCCAAACCAGTTTGATACCTAGAGAGATTTAAGAGATGAGAATTATTTATATATCATCCTTCACAAACTTTGCAGAAGAATAAGGAAGGGCTTATGGGAAGATTAAGGAAGTAAGCTGTCCTGGTGTGGCACTGTGAGCTAATGCACTCAAGTGCAAGGTCTGTTTGAACCGCAAGGTCGGCAGTTCAAGCTCATCAGCCGCTCCTTGGAAATCCTATACAGAGTTGCTATGGATCGTAACCGAGGTAATGGCACTTAACAACAACAACATTTCTGATTTCACAGAATTAGTCAAAAGATTTGAATTAAGAACTTAAGGGATAGCAACTACACAAAATGACATTCTCTTGCTCAATATAATGAGCATTTAGCAAAACCATTTGATAATAATGTTCCTACAGAGGAGATGCTCATTTAAATTAAACTAAGCAATAAAAAACAAGATAAAATGAAAAACCTAAATGCAGTGCTGTTAAGTCAGTTCCATACCAGCCCTATAGGACAGAGTAGAACTGTCCCAATAGAGTTTTTAGGGCTGGACCACAAGGTCAGTTTGAACCTCAAGGTCAGCAGCTGAAAACTGAGCCGCTATTCCTCGGAAACCCTATACAGGGTCGCTATGAGTCAGAACTGACCCAGAAGCACTTAACAACAGCAACAATTTTTAAGGTAGCAGACTGACGTCTCTCTCCTACATTGAAACTTGTTGTTGTTAAGTGCTGTGGAGTTGGTTCCGACCCATAACAAAACTGTACAGGGTTACCGAGGAGCGACTGGTGAGTGACTTTGAACTTCCGATCTTGTGGTTCAAACCGAACTTGTGGTTCAGCGCATTAACCCGAAGCGCCACACCTTTTTAATTTAAAGGACCATATTTTAAATTTGCTTACCTCCTACATATATTATGCTAAAATAAACATCACATTTTATGAAAAATACCTGTTACTTATCATTCCTAAAGCTGAATTTGGGCAAGCAAAAGTACATAGACATTTTAATATTTATATAAATCTGTATCAACATATGTGATGAATTAATTTCAAATTATTTGAAGTTAAATAACTTTAACTTAGATTCTTAGCTTTTGTGTTAGAGACCACAGGAGCAATACAATTCACCAAATTTTGCTAAGCATCTGTACAAAGCTTGGTGTTACGTACGTAAGAAAAAACTGAAGCACAACTGATTTATTCTTCTGAACCCCAGACTTTAAAAGTTAAATGCAATAAACAATTTCAATCTCATTTACTTTCAGTTGTTCATTTATTTCCTTCATGTGGCTCCCAGCAGCGGTCTTGGCTTGGTTCTCTGCCCCTGTTTCCTTTATACCAAGATCTCTGCCAGACACCAGTGGAGACACAGATAAATTCAAGTTTTACCTCCATCATTCCTGCCCTGAGGAGGAACGTTTTATACCCCATATTCCAGATGTGATTCTAAACTAAAATGTTGTGGGTTTTATAAAATTTCAAAAGAAACTCTGAATTTTTGGAGGGAAAGGGAAGTTGCTATCATGCATACCCATCGCTTATGCATAGTTTATATTTAGCCCCTAAAAAATGCATATGGTAATCTTACCAGCCATGCCTCAGAAGAAACATGAGGCTGTCTGTTCCTGCAAAGACTGACAGTCTCAGAACAAACAAGAAGGCGGATCGAGTGGACGTATAGCAGAGAGCTCCACCAACAACAACACAGAATACCCAACCAAGCAGGCTCAGGGGATGGTCCCAGAACTCTGAACCACATATAAAGGAATACTTAGAAGGTTGGAAGGCTCACAGCTGGGGAATTTGTGGCAGAGG